TATTCTTGATTTTTATTTCACTTCGTATTCTGAAAATTGTCTTCGCTTCCATATCGAGAATTTTTCGAAAATCAAGAATTCAATGCACAGAGGCTCTCTGAAACCGATTTATATTTTGTTACTTGTCCTTCGATTCCATGAAATCGCACCGATTTGTTAACAAAATTGATTGAAGATTAAAAATCGGTGGTTATATAATGACGAAACGGGGTGTCTTTTCGACTGTTTTTTTTTTTTTATCGCGAAGTGTAGGCGACCTCAGGGCTATTACGCTCACCGTCCGAAGCCATACGTGGGATAAATAGAGGCAAAATTCTCCAGACGAGTGACTTTCACCCAATTGACTTTCCCTTTCTCTTCTCTATACGCGCGTCTGTATTTCAATGTACACACGTTATGTACCACTACGCGACCTCCGAGATCAGACCCGTTCGGAGCTTGCTCACTTCCTGTCCCCTTCGAGAACTCTTTCATTCAACGCTCCGCCACAATAACACGATCGCTCGGTGATTAGAATTATCGCTACGCACACGATTACAAATCTGTTGGTTATATTAACCGTTTGAGGCCCAGGGGTCATTGAAGAAACCCGGTCGAAAAATACCGTACTCTGCGCGATAGCGCTTGTCTTAATGTGCGTATTATTAGTTTATAAATATTTCAAGTTTTGTTCAATAAAAATTATTGAGAAGATAACAATGAAATAGAACATGTGTTAGTTGCATTATTTACATTAAAAAAAAAACAGCTACGCGACGTATGTGCGTCAGCGAAGTTGAGCGCGCTACTTCGACAGGCTGTGAGTATACCGTCAGTTGTCCATAATGTTGAAATGCTCGGGGACTTCTCGACGCAAAACCTAAACCGCGCGACCGCGCTGCTTGAGACTCAAACGATTAAGTTATCCTCGGATGATAAATGTAGCTTTAAGTTAAATCTTCGTTTTTCGAAATAGAAAACTGTACTTTAAGTGGGTAATTTACAGTTTATAACAGACAATTTATATAAATTTTATTATACAGGATAAATTCACTTTTGTTATTCATTAAACGATTGAATATTTATTAATTATGAATATTATTAATTATTTATTTTTCAGAAAAATTCACAGTTTAATTATTAAATACTTAGGTTAGTAATTAATTAAATAATAAAAATAAATATAATAAAATAAGTATATAATAAAATATATTTTAAAATAAAGTTAAATAATTTGATGTACCATGTTCTTATAACAGTTACGTTGATTAAACCTTTTCTTCGATTCTAGTAATTTCTAAGAAAATTTCTAATCAAGAAAACTATTTCTTTGACACACTTAATACATACATATATACATCCACCGAATATAAATTTATATGACAATTTCTACGAATGAACTTATAATTAAAATTATCTATTTATAATAAATATTGATTTAATTGTGTGCCTACATTTATTTAAATATTTAAATATGAACGACAAAGAGATCAGAATTCTGTTGCGACTCGGAAGAACGAAAAATCATTCGTGCTTGTAACATTATTATTAGAAATCGCCATATCGAGTCGGACTCGACGAAGTATGGCAAGGGATTCGCGTAATAGTAATTTCGGCAATTACTTCAATGTCAACGTTGACACGGCATTGTCCAAAGAAGTGCAAATTGCGATTCAACGGCACGTTATACGTGATCGTATGCACGTTGAAATTTATCTATCCGACAGTTGCGTCAGAATTGAGATTTTTGCTTCTCGCGAACATACGTACGTACATATATTTTGGACGAACGTATTTACCGAGATTAATGAAGAATTGAAGGACGCGTGAAGATAAAATTCTTAGAATTTCATATCAAATTATCTGTTGATGTGTACACTGACTTTGGTGTACTTGTGTATGCGTCAAATGTGTCTTTATCCAGCGTAATAAATCAATATTTGGTGTGAACGAATTATGAGACATCAAGGAAGGTATAAAAGCATTACAGAAAGATTCAGAAAAGCGTGAAAGCATTATAAGAAAATTGAGGAAAGAGAAGTGAGGAGAATTAAGAAAATACTCTTGCGAATTGGTGATATACGTGTACAATATTATTTAACTAAATTTCCTTACGGCTGTCTTGTCCGATATGTTTCTGAAAGGTTTCTCTCAGATTCTCCCGAACTACTTCTCGGTATAGTCGAGTTAAAGTCAATTGACCGCTCAAAGCCAATTCCCTGCTGCGACGTCACTTGCTTCACTGTTTCAGAAACAATCGTTGTATCTACAGATTTACATGAAGCGACAAAAGATCGTGCAATAAGAGAGCTGAATAAGATGCTTTTTAAACGATAAATGGGACGTCTTTTACTGGTATAGTTTTTAAAACACGTAGTGTTTTAGATTTCGTTAATAAAAGTATTTGATAATTGATGTATGGGAAAATCGTGACTTGAACAAGATTAATGTTAATTATTACTACTATTACTATTTAGTAATAATAATAAATAATAAATTCGAAATAATAGTTTTAATCCTAGCTAATAATTTCAATTCTCAATAATAAATTCAATTTTAAATAATAATTTCAATTCTAACTAATAATTTTAATTCTGATTAATGATTTCAATTCTAAATAATAATTTTAATCCTAACTAATAATTTCAATTCTAACTAATAATTTCAATTCTAACTAATAATTTCAATTCTAAATAATAATTTCTATTCTAAATAATAATTTCGATTACAGTGCTTTCACCGTGTATAGCAGGCCATTTTATCAATTCATTGTTCTTTTATATCGAACAGTGTATAATGATACAAATAGTAGAATTTTCCATTAATTTTGATTGCATGTTATGTTTAGAGTATGATGAACCAGTATAACCCCTTCTTTAAATTGCTGACTTAAAAGTATGACGGAGTTATGCGCGAACAGATGTTTTCGCTCATCTAACAAAACATTCTTAAAAATACAAAGAATTGTTTGTAATACCGCTAGCTGAGAAATATGAGAAGTCGTGTTAACAATTTATAAAAATAACAGTTATAAATATAACGATTATAAAAATAGCTTTGAACAAATCGTTAATTGCAACAAACATGCGAATAACGTTCTAACGTGTATAATAATCCATTGTGCAATCAATGTTGCTTTTCTTCGTCTCATCTCAGCGTATGAAAATGGGAGAGTAACCTTGAATCAAATATATATATGTATGTAATCGTTCGACGCGATTAAATTCACGTGTAAAATAATAATGATGTGTATGGAAGTATATCAGAGCAATCTCTTATTCGTAATTTCTCTTCTCTCTGTACGAAGAAAAGAATCTCTTTCTTTTCTCATTGTTTCCGACAATCGCTAGCGTCTTTCGTGGAATTTTCCACAGACGTCGTTTACAGCGACGACACTTATCACTGCAGGTCTATCTCTACGATGTTAAGGCTCCGTTTACAATAACATACGCTTACCATATTGTGTGACAGAGCCGTTTAGGATCAAATATCGCGTTAACTGTATATGCGAAAAATTTAGGATTAAATACCACGTTAACCATAGACACAATATCGTGACAATAAAATACATCAGTACCTTTTAAAATAAAATATCATCTTAAATTTACATATATCTATACACATAATATTGTAATGATAAAATAAACCAGAATCTCTACGAATTCAATAATATGACAGCTACATACAAAATAATATATAATAATAAATACATCAGAATTTTTTAAAATTAAATACTGTGTTGCTTAAATACAAAACATCGTAACAATAAAATACATCATAACCTTTACAAATTCTATGATATGTTAACTATATACAATAATTAAATACAATACTATATACAATAACTAAATGCTTATTGTTAACTATACACAATAATATGTTAACTATATCAGAATTTTTTAAGATTAAATGCTGTGTTATCTAAATACAACATATTGTAACAATAAAGTACATCAGAACCTTTTAAAATTAAGTATAATGTTAGTTATACTATACAAAATATCATAGCAATAAAAAATTAAAATCTTTCAGGATTAAATACTATTTTAAATAATAAAACTTTTGTAATAATAAAACATATCAATACTTTTTAGGATTAGAGATCATGTTAACTATACCATACGAAATATTGAAATTCTAAAAGGCACCAGAACTTTTTAGGCTTATTAGGGTTATTTTTAGGTTTTTTCTGGTACATTTGGATGTACCAGAATCTTCCAGGATTAAACACTCTTAGGTTTAAATATCGTGTTAACTGTCAATAACGTATTGAAATAATAAAATATCTCAGATCCTGTTAGAATTAAACATCACGTTAAGAGCACACGAAAAGTGTCATAATTAGACTGCGGATTTTCGTACGGAATTGAAATCTTCTCCACTGATTGCAAGTTGCGAGAAACGGAAATTGAATAAACATTTATATCTTGTCTAAATAGCTTTAGTAAATTCTTCCAAACCTTTCTCCGTTTTCTACTTCATTTCTCCGTTTTTGATATAAATGTGCATGAAATCTGTAGTCAAACTGTGTACTGAAAATTGTCATAATAAAGTAGGAAAGACCGACGACGGTTGTAACGCTTCGATTTTATAACACGATTACACATAAACTATTTTGTTTACAACGACAATTATTGTACGAACCTCTTACCTACTTATCTGAGATTATTCTGTTACAGCGGTTTTGTTGTGCATCAACGAATATCCAAGTTATTAATAAAATATGGGAAGCGGGTAAAATGTTACAACCGACCCCGACCCCGGGTCCGTTGTAACACAGCATGGCATTCTTTATGTGCCCGGTCATTATAGCCACAACATTGGACCCATTTTTTTGTGGGTTTATTTTCTCTTATAAATATTGAACGTAAAATATAAAATTTCAAATAATTCAATAGTAATTTGGACACACGAAATATACTATTTCAAATAATTATTCCCGATGTATCTTAAGCAAATGCTACTTCGATTAACACTGTATTTCATTAATTATTTCCAATGCTTTTACAAATTTTTTTCCCCTTCGGATCTGGCCAGTAACCGAACACTTTCAGGAGCTACTGTACGCATAAACGTTTCCATTAATTCCGTAGCAATCGTCGGGGACCACGTGCACGTTCAACGCTACCGTATACGTAGGCTAGCACTATTTATAAATATCATTCAGCAATCGATTAGCGCAGTAATTCGCGAGCGAGGGTCGAACGCGGGACGCGGCGCGAATTTTCGTGGAATGAAAGGAGAGTTTTGTTCCGAAAGAGAAAACGGAAAAAATTGTGGAAGTCTATTCAAAAGACCAATGGCGGTGCGGGAGGTAGGGGTCAAGACGGGGCGATCGTGACCGCAGCTTGCCGCTAGAACGTGTTAATTATTAATACAAAGCATTTAAGCCAAGTGTTATGGCAGCCTATTTTAATCCGGGAGGTCTGTTTTCGCCGTTGCCTTTCGGCCCCTTCCGGTCCTGAATTAGAAGCGCCAATAAACGGAGGCCACCATAGAGATCTCGTTGTTTGACCAAGTGCACGCCAGGCTCCCTGTGCGGCCGCTCAACTCCTACCAAATACCGGGAACGAGGTTATGAAAAGGTCGATAATTCGGGTTGCCGTATAGCATTTACGACAAAGAGAGTCTGTACGTCAGTACTTGGAGAAATCTCGCCATTGCACAGTGGTCCAGAAATCGGTAATTTTTTATCGAAAGTCTGGACTTCGTCAAATCTTTTGGAACATCGTAATTTAGTCTAAAGTTGAAGTTGAAAGTTTTATTAACGTGTCAGGAGCATATGCAGCCTATCACATGCGTACAGTTTCCCTTACATAGGCAGGTACATTTTGTATATCTTTTTGACAATATTTTCTCATTCTAAGCTTAATTCTACGTATAAAAACCTATCTGTACGTCTTTTTGTTAAACATTTTCTCATTTTTATTTTGTGGTTTGAGTTTGCTTTTATATCACATTTTGTTATTATGCATATACGTTGTATTGCCTAATAAATTGTCAGTTTTTAATCGCGACTGTCGTATTCCTATTTCCTTGATATTAGTTTTCTACAAGCTATTGTTTAATCTTACGAATATTTTCCTTTACACTTTACATTCTATTATCACGTAGTTCGGTGGGGCCAAGTAAATTTGAGTCTTCGGGGTCACTGATAACTAGACTGCCGATGTTTGTGTAAATGTATATGTTTATAGAAAAGAGATAAAATAGGATTCATATATTATATAGGATTGCATATATTATATAACGATAAACAAATTTCTGTCCGAGTTAGACCCCGATAGTAATAGTTAGTATAGTACATTACTATATGTACTTACTAAGAAAATAAGTAAACATCATATATATAATATATAACCAGAGATGCAAAGGTTTTATCGTATTTATCAAAAAGTATCTGTCAGCCTATTAGACCGATTATATATGTATATGCAAAAAATGACGAATAAAAGTAATGAAGAGAAAGTGGAAAGATATACAGCATTGATCGGGAAGGGTCGTTGGCTTCATGAAAAATACGTACTGGAGAATTAACATGAACGGAACATTACAATTATCTCAAGATTCACATAAAATTCACTCAGATTATTTCATTATAACAATTTTATTACGAATGTTTTTATCATTATCAAAAATATTATGGATTCTCGAGATAACTGTAATGTTCCGTTCATGGCATTTCTCCTGTACGTATTTTTCGTGGAGTCAATGACCCTTCCCGATTAATACCATATATCTTTCTACTTTCTCATTATTACTTTTATTCGTCACTTTTTGCGTAATCGGTCTAATAGACTGATAAATACGTTTTCTTTCTCCTTTTTGGGATCTGTTACGTTTCTCTCTTATCTCGGCGCAGAAGAGAGAGAACAACGAGCACTTTCATTTGCTTACGTTTCGATATCCTACTCTTGATTCCCGGCATATTTTTTATTGCCGCCGTCCACGGGACCTCGTTGGCGTTCCAAGTATATGCATATTCAGTAGTTCGCAAACACTGCATCCTCTTTTTATGAAATAAGCGGATTTTCTTGTTTACAAAGTAAGAATCTGAACCAGAACAGTTATAATTAGATTACAGATTTTGTGCGTTCATGACAAAACTGACTAAGAAAGTTAATAAAATATAAAACTCAGGCAACGTTAGAAGAAATTTAGAATATTTCTACATAGTCTTGAATTTTTTAAAATTGTGAAAACAGAAAATACAGTTTTATCAAATTTTTTAAAATTTGTAATAGAATATTTTTGATATTGCTTATCAAATCTGTATAATTTATTTATACATCAAATTTCGTTTAGGAATAGTAATAATAATTTACTTTGGCGAAGAATAGGTGAATTAAATTTAGTTTATAGACAATAATTTATTTAACATTAATAGTTAAATAATATAATCTATTTATAACATATTAAAACAATATTACCTAATTAATTATGTTGTTATCACAAAAGTGCAACGTAAAACATTGTTGTAAAATTAGTTTCGTTGACGGTCACAACGTAAGTTACTTCGAGGAAGTAAAGTTGTACATTTTGGACGATATAATAATGAGCTGGAAAGGGAACGGTTTTGAATCTGAAACCGAATCGATTTATCATTTGCTTGCGTGATTTATGATTATGACCACTTTTCGACGCTATTCGTTACTGGAACCCGACCGAGGCCAGGAGTGTATCTGGAGTAAACCTACACCTTTTCTGTGACCCTTAGATTTTTTATCTGCCGACTCGAAATTATTCTTTCTCAACTTAACTATGTCATATATTACTTGTAATGGAACTTCTAAAAAAGTAATGATCTATTCTCGGACCCGAATATTTTCAAAACGTTTCTCAGGATATCTTTTATTATAACTTGGCAGCTACATTTACTAATAAAATAATAAGTGTCTTCTTTTTTTATTTACTTGACATCTAATACAAATGATACGAATAGTTGATAAATGTTATATATATATTATATGTGTTATATGTATTAGGGTCATAATAAATAAATAACTTCATATTGAAACAATCAATTTTTAAATGACTGCTTATACATACTGAATTCTTATTATAATTTTGTAAAGTATTAATATTTACAAATTGGAGATACAATAAATTCTCCCTAATTGACACCGAGATTGCGCACAAAAACGGACAATTTAGGAAGAGGAGGTACGATTATTCGAGCCTTGTGAATCATTTTTATAGTTACCGATTGTTAACAACTATGAAAATGAGTTACAAGGCTCGAATAATCGTAAAAATGAACAATTAATTATACATAATATATTATATAATATAATATGTAATATTTTGGATAATAAATATAGTAGACGATAAATATAACAGTATATGTATACTATAGCTGATAACCAATTAACTTTGTTTCAAAATTTCTGAGAATATGTGGGTAGTTGAGATAAAAACGACTTTCCTATTTGTGTAGCCGCATTAAAATCTATAAAATTGTCCTTATGAAACCGCAAAATTGGTATTGTTCAATATAATTTTACTACCCGCTGTGTTTTAACTATGAACACAATGTTTAATCAAAATCTACTAATTTCCATACACGATAACTAAACTGCGAATATTTATAATAATTTACAAGAAAACATGTACGTTAAAGTAAATGAATAATATTTTTATCTTATTCCTATTGCATGAATATTTGTATGATATACTCTCGTCTCTGTTATATATTATTTGATTATTCAGTTTTAACCATCTTCTAATAAAATAACCCCAGACTGCGAATATTTGTATAATATACAATATATTGTAATATTCAAATATTATACAATTTTTGAAATATTCACTGCCATGGGGTTATTTTTACTATGGGTTGCCTGAATTGAATAATCAAATAATATATGAGAGAAATAAGAGTCGAAATTTTTACTCGTGTGTCAGAACTATTGTGTAATAATATTATGTGCCGTGTGTGAAGATTTCTGTTATATTTTCATAGTCTATTTAATTAATCAATAATTATTATCATTAGTAGTAATATAAATGTTAAATATATCTCCACCAATTTCACAAAATATATCGAGCAGATTAAATGATAAAAGTTAACTTTGTCACACGATCTAAAAGACATTTTAGAAGTTCACTTCCTGAAGTCATCGCGAACATGCCGAGTTCACTTGATCCTCGTGTAATGTAGCCACATACGTACGAAGCTAATAAAGTTCATTTTTCACGTCTGGAGGGAACATGCGCGGATTAACAATGAGAACCCATTACATTATAGAAAGCTTCACGATGGGGCAACATTGACCTAAACTTGTTACACTAATTATGCCGTTTTATTTAATGGGGGACGGCGAAATCGGGATCCCCCTTACAGCGTAGATCGTTTCTCAAGCCTTTATGATGTTATCAGAGAGTTCGCTCGCAGCTATATGCTCGCACACATTTACGGACGTTCACTTTTTCTAACGTGCACATTTTATGTTTACGTTCGCGCCTTCGCTTCGCTCCGCTCCGCCGTGCGGCCGTCGCCGTGACACTATTACGCTCTTATGTTGCGAATTTTTTTTGGTCCCGTGACGAATTAAGGCGGGAAATTATAGATCGCGCGGATAATGGCGCAGCAACAACCTTTTATCTTCGTGATGAAGTTATATTCCTGCGTGTACGTCATTAGAGAAGTACGTGAACATCATTTTCTTGATAAATTATTAAGACCGATTTCTTGAACAGGCTTACTTTTTATTGGAAATTGTTCAGTGATTCAGAAGATTGCTTGCTATGACTATTAGACTACGGATTTTATGCATGTTTAAGAAAAACAACTCGGTCGAAAATGAAATTTTGTATAGACATTAGAAGGATTCGAGGTGATTTTTATACTATGTACAACTTATTACAATGGTCAACACAGAAAACACCTTATCATATGATTTACTAATTTTTATTGCATAGGGTGGCCTATTTAAATTGATCCAGTCAAATATCTTCGAAACTGTCGATGATACTAAAAAATGTTTCCAACGAAATTTGAATAGTTTTAAAAGCCACGTAATCTGATATTAATAAGATTTTTCTGGGTGAACGCGTCGAGCATATGCGAAGGTGAACTTTATTTTTTTAAATGGAATTATATACTTTCTGATTATACTGAAGTATTCATTGCGAAAAATCGTTAGTTTAGGAGATATTTGAGTTTCGCTATCTTTTAGAGACAAAGTAAGTCTTTACATTCAGGCTGAAGGTCATATTTTTGAACACCAACTTTAAGTAGACGAGTGCTAACACTATGCATTAATAAAATTCAAATATCTTCTAAGCCAATGATTTATTGATTTCAATTTTTGTACTTGTTTGCTTTTACTTGTTTGCTTGTTTACTTTTCACGGTTTTTTCAATTCACATGATTATTCTAATTCTATTATTACAACGAAGTACTTCATTATTATATTGCAATGTTTTTAGTTAAATAAATGATAGTAAAATTTCTGATCAATGGTCTTTTTCAAACTCAAACTAGTATGCTAAGGTGTTGGGCAATTCCAACATTGTATTTCTATTTCAGTTTGTAGTGAAAGTCACATTTTCTATGTTTTTATCATTTTATAATCAGCCAAGTGTAAAATGCAATGGATAGTTTATCTAGGATTACGTTAACTCATATTCTTGCCCTTTTTATTTGCGGTCTATCGTGACTTTAATATACCAATTATTCTTTTGAAAATGGTAAGTAATGTTTGAATATCCGAATATGAATTGCATAAATGTTCTGAAATTAAAGAAAAAACTAAATACGAGACAATGTGTACAAATAATTTTGCAAAAATTGCAATTCATTGGAATGACAAAAAAATATTTAGAAAACCACGTTTCTTCGACACATTTATTTGAGCCTATTAAGCTATTATCTGAGCCTAAATTTCGGTGATTATATGCATGCTGAAAATTTCAACGAAACACAATTTTGTAAATTTTCTTTTGTCATTGCAACTAATTACAATTTTCGCAAAATTTTCTCTCAGACATTGTCAAACAAATTAATTCCTATAAAATTTGAGAAAATTCACGTTGTTTGGTCCAATCTAAAAAAAAAAAGTGACCTCGTTTGAAAAGTGTATACGAATACTTTTTGGAGCCGCTGTATATTTTTCGCGTATCAAGTTCCAAGTGAAAGCCCCACATGGGATTCTTGAGGAAGGTTAGGTAGGTCCCCATGGCAGTGACTGCTCAATGTTATGGTTGGCGGTGCATGCCGGGGAATGACGATCTTGCCAATGTCCACTCACGTGTTTCTGGATACACGTAGATGACGAAGGAAGCCTGCAAAACCAGACCGGCAACGGGCCTTCTACTTACCAAATGCGCACTCCAAGAAGACCCTTTCCATCGAACCATAGCGCTTTCCTCGATCCCTTTTTTTCTATAGATCCTCGAGCCCCTTCATCCTGCCAGATGCCCTTAGAAATATGTAAGTATGTATACCTCCTCAAATAATTTTCTTCGTTCCTACGCAGTGAACGATTTTATGAATTTTATGCGCATCCAATGATCTGCTTGCATAGTTATTGTTATTATAAGTTGAAGCAAACCAATAATCGAATGATTTTGGAGATACGTATGCGTGCAATCTGTACTTTTACATTAAAGTTATTAGTGTGTTTACAAATACTTGCCCTCTACGATTATACTTCATGTTCGCAATCCTAAATCGAAATAGAACTACGCATGTACAGGATGTCCGAAAGGGTTTGGACCGAACTTATACTACGTGTTACTGAGGTCAAATATGTAGATGAAGAAAGTTCATCTATGTATACTTATCCAGGGCTAGAAAAAATAGATTTTTGAAATGGTTATTTATATATTAAATAATTTATATAATATATATTAATATACATATAATATCAGAAAAACTTAAATAAATATTTCTTTCATCTCGTAAATATTTTATTAAATTGAAAGTAACATCGTAACAATTTCAGATTTTTCTAATATTTTTAGTTTCATATTTCCCCTATTAATATTCATCATGAACGCATAAAATCCGCAATCCCTCTAATCACGTGTACTAAATGCATTTATAATTACTTCCCAATTCTCCACAAGGTGTAATACTATAATCATACTT